TTACTGCTGTTACTTTTATTTATGTGTTGACCAACTTGCTTTGAAAGTGAGGTTGCGGATATGTTATAACACAGACATGAGCGAGATCCCATTCAAACTACAGTGTTTGTTTAAAGAGGCCTATCTTGAAGTACTGTCCATACATGTTATTAAGAGATTCTCAAGCAAATTCCCTTACCTGTATTAACACAGGTATACAGATTAATTCATAAAGTAAATATAGATATCATATTTACTTGAATATAAGACAAGGTTTTTCCCCCCTATTGGCATGAGGGAAAAAATCCCTAGTCTTATAATCGCATACAACAAAATCTCACTAAATACATTGTCTATCTTTAAACTGCTGCTGAAAGCAGCATATACTCAGTGATGAAAACCAACTGTGAAGTTGATTAAATGCAGCCAACACTGAGGACGACTATAAAACACACGGGCCACATTTGCTAAACATGCAAGTAGGGGTGCATCAATAAAGATTTATTGGCCCAATACTGATGGCCAATGATTGACCAGCCATATCAGCTCATACTGATCCAATTGCTGATATGCAGTCTGGCAGCATGGAGAGCAGCATCTGGCTGGTAAGTCTGTTGGGGGGGGAGGGGCATGGTGGAAGCAGATGGAGGAGGGAGTGGGGGTGGGGGAGGGGCAAGTGCTGTCCTTCAGGGGTGGAGCGTGGGACAGTCTGTGGCTCACCTGGTGGGGGAGGTTCCCACCGCTGTGTACACCCCCAGGGAGGCACAGGGGGCATGTGCCCCCCCAATTTGTGTGTGGGGCAAGGGTGTGCTCTGCATTTGGGTCTGGGGCTGCTGCAGCCTCTTTCTGGAGGCGGCACTCAGGTTGGGTGGGGTAGGGTGGATGGTGGCAGCGCTGGGAGGGGGGGCTATGGTGAATTTTGGGGTGTCTCTACCTCCCCCATAACCCCTCCTCCCAGCGCTGCCCTGACCTGCCCCTCCTGGCCCAAGTGCAGCTGCCAGGAAGAGGCTGGAGCAGCCCCCAGCCCACAGCGGCAGTCCTTCCTTGCCCTGCATAGAGATTGGGGGGGGCACACGCCCCCCATGCCTTCCCCGGGGGTGCACACAATGGCGAGAGCCACCCCCCTGGATGAGCCACTGGCTCCACCCCGTGCCCTGCCCCAGCTGGGCTGCCCCTGCCTCAGCCCCAGCCCCACTCCCTCCCTCACCACAGGGTCCTCAATCTACCACACACCTATTCCCCCCAACAGACTTACGAGCCAGATTCTGCTTTCCAAGCTGTCAGGCTGCATTCCTGACCACGTGCATGCTGTAGCTGCACACATATATGTGGCATTTATCAGTGACATTATTGGCTGCATCAGCGAGAAAAAGCCAATTGCCGATAATGTCAATTTTCCTTTTATTGGTGCCGATGTGATATAGACCGTTGTATCGATGCAAGGGTAGGTTAGTGCAGCCCACCTGAATGAGACATATGGGTAGTACCCATTAACCGCAGTCTCCCTCACTGCCAACTCTCTTCCAAGTCATGGTGAGCTACGATGGTTCACAGGAATCCCTCTGTCAGCCCCTGTCTCAGCCTGGTGCATATGATTAGGTGAAGGTGAAGCTGGACCAGGTTGCCCTGCACCATTTCTGCATATAAATTTTTGGAACATCCCAGGACTTGACAAGATCACTCTGTTCCAGTCATGAGTGGAGACTAATTAGCACATAGATCCTTTATGGGGGGTATCTGGAGTATACATGCATAGTGAGCACTCCTGAGATATAGGGTCATGGTGGCTTGAAATACTTTTAACTGTGGGGGAACCCAGCCCAAAGGTCTATGTGGTAAATGGCAAGCCTTTGTCTTTGGACTAATATTATGCATAGTTTGTACTCTATATAAGTAGGTGCCAAAGTACTGCTCAAAAGTGTGCTTATGGAGTACCTGTGCTAAAAATTGCAGCAGTTAAAAAAAAAAAAATAACATGCATCAATTCTGGATAAAATAAATGCATGAGTATTTTATGCAAATTGCTAGAGCCATGTTTAATTTCAAGCTTATTGTTTCCAAATTTGCTCCTTACTTCCATTTGCTCAGGGAGTGCAGGATCTGACAGTAAAGAGAGAGGGAAGGGGCTGTTGGCAAAAAGTTGGGGGGAGGCAAAGAGTAAAGGGCTAACCAATCTATTTTCCCTGCTGTGGCAGGGGGGGACAAATTCAAGGCAAACCTCCAATAATTATAACAAATTCATAAATTTGCCATATATAGACTCTAATTATTGGGGGGTTGTCTTATAATTAGGGTAGTCTTCTATTCAAGTAAATATGGTAATATGCTCCAATTGTTTGTATTGTGGTGTTTAGCAAGTCTTTTTGTGGTCAGCACTTCTAAAATTACAGAGTAAGAGAAGGTAATATAAGCTCAATTATTCCAGGACAGTAAATGATTATCACAAAGAAGAGTTGGGAGGGGAAGGCAGGAAAAGGAAATGAGCATTGGGGCATGCAGTTACTCTCTAGGGTGCTGTTACACACCTCGGCCATTTGAATGGTACCACTTTTTAAAATAAAAAATAGTCATATAGGTAGAGTGACCATATGTCCTAGTTTGGCCAGGACACTCCAGGATTCCATAGTCCAGTCCTGGCCAGTTGGTCATAAGTCCTGAGCTGGAGTCTGGTGGGGAGGTGAAGTGGCATGGTGCACCAGGCAGGTGGCTGGGCAGGTACCGCTGCTTCTGTGTGGGAGCAAGGACGTACCATGTGCAGGTGGGGTGGTGCACCATGCTGCTCCGCCTCCTCACTGGACTTCAACCAAGGTCTTTTGACCAATCTGCCAGGACCAGGCTACAGAATCCTGGAGTGTCCCGCCCAAAATGGGGTGTATTGTCAGCTTACGTGTAGATTGTGTATCTACTTATAAGTTATACGTAGGTGTACAACCAAACTTTAATCTATTTGCTGATTTTTCCCATTAAATATCACAGAAGTGATGCAATTAAGACCTGGTAATATTAGTTTAGAAGACAAGAAAAATTCACTGAGGGGTTCATACTAGAATGGCTTATATACCATGTTCGGAATACATTCTTCTTGGGGCTCTTGTACACATGATGGGAGTTTAGTCCCCTAAATTAAATGGTGAGTTTTTAATTGTGATGATCAAAACCCCACCATTTCAAATTAGAGCAGTGGTCACCAAGATCTCAGAGCCTCTTGCAGTAGATTTTGGAGTCTCTTGGAGTCGATCTGAGGCTGGGGTGGGGGACTGAGTGCCCACGTGCATGCATGCGCATGCCCCAGCCCAGCAGGTCAGTCCATGGAGGAGGTAAAGGGCGGAAGTTAGATCAAGGTCCCCATGGTGAGGGACAGTGCCGCAGAGGAAAGAGCAGGGGTAAATTGAACGGGGCCCTGGCCGGGTGGGACTTACCTGCTGGTGATGTGCCCCACATAATTTTTTCTCCCTTTGCCTCGACCTGCCCACCCCTTCCTTCTCCATAGACTTACCTGCGGGGTTGGGGGAGGGGCGTGGTGGCAGCGCAGGGTAAATCTTGAGTTGCTTTTAAATGCCAAAGGTGATCTCCTACTTAAAAAGGTTGGAGACCATTGATTTAGAGGCTTCCATCACTGTTACGGTGAGGGGCCCGATCCTTTTTTTGGTGGAGTCTGCCCGCATTTCCTGTGGCTGGTGGGCAAGCTGCTAGAGGGCCGAGCTGCCCAGGTGGGTGACTAGGAGGCAGTATCTGCCCCAGCTTGGGCTTGAGGAACAGTTTCATATATTCATAGATGTTAGGGTCAGAAGGGACCTCAATAGATCATCGAGTTCGACCCCCTGCATAGGCAGGAAAGAGTTAGATGACCCCAGCTAGATGCCTATCTAATCTCCTCTTGAAGACCTCCAGGGTAGGGGAGAGCACCACCTCCCTTGGGAGCCCATTCCAGACCTTGGCCACTCGAACTGTGAAGAAGTTCTTCCTAATGTCCAGTTTAACTCTGTTCTCTGCTAGCTTGTGGCCATTATTTCTTGTAACCCCCAGGGGCGCCTTGGTGAGTAAAGCCTCACCATTTCCCTTCTGTGCCCCCATGATGAACTTATAGGCAGGCACAAGGTCGCCTCTCAACCTTCTCTCGCGGAGTCTGAAGAGGTCCAGGTGCCCCAGTCTCTCCTCATAGGGCTCCTCAGTTGGATTGGGCTGGGTGATGTCTTCAAGCCGGGCCAACACCTGCTAGCTAGCTGCCTGCCCAGGTGGCCCCAGAGGGCACCACCACTGTGGAGGGAAGGACCCAGGCCCTCCCACATCTCAGGGCCCACCAGCAGATCGCTCCCTGGCTGTGGGAGAGGCAGGCAGGCTCCATGGGGGGAAAAAAAAGGATTAGGCCCCTCGCTGCTTTTTGGGGTTTTCTTTTCCTGGCGGAGCCTGCCTGCATGAGCTGCCAGCGGGCTGACTACCCCAAGTCCAAGCTGGGGCAGCACCTGCCCATTAGCAGCCTACCTGAATGGCCCCAGGGGGTGGCACCATCGCAGGGGAAATGACCGGAGACCCTTGCAGCTCAGGGGCTGCTGAGCCTGCTGGCAGTTCACCCCCTGGTGATGGGAGATGTGGGCAGGGTCCGGGGGAAGAAAAAAAAGAATTGGGCTCCTCCCTGCTTCTGCCTTTAGCCCACCTCTCCTGTGTGGGGTGGGGGGTGAGCTGTCAAAAGGCTGCAACGTTACAGATAGCTACTTCGCAAGCTAAACTCTATGCAGATGTGGTTTAGTCTGTAATGTAGCAAACATTTAAATTGCAAAAAAAACCTTATGTGTGTACAGTGTGAAGCAATTAAACTGCAAAAACAGGCAATTTTCGTCATGTGTACAGGTGCCCAATGTGTTCACTTACCACTTTTCAAAACTTAGGCTCATCTTTAGCATGTGAATCTTTGAGAGAGCATGATAATGGAGCATAATACAGGATGTGTTGATGCTTTTTCCATTTATCTAAGTAAGATAATTCATTACCTATATTTATTTCTTTTGCTTCTTTCCAAACAGGTGTCAAAGAAAGTCAAGTCCATGCAGATGTTCCATACTCCCGTGACTTATGCCATGCAGGGGGACAGGGTAGGCATCTGTGTGACCCAGTTTGATCCCAAGCTGCTAGAACGGGGTCTCATCTGTACCCCAGAATCTCTCCAGACCATACATGCTGCCATTATCTCCCTGAAGAAAATTCAGTATTTTCGAGGTGCGGTGCAGACCAAAGCCAAGTTTCATATCACAGTTGGTCACGAAACAGTTATGGGACGAGTAATGTTCTTCAGTCCAGCCCCTGCTGACTTCAACAAAGAGCCCCTGGACAATGCCTTTGATTTTGAAAGAGATTACCTTTATCAAGAAGAATATTTGTCCAAGGATTCGAAGGCTTCTGATGAAAACAAGGATAATGACCAGACAGGAGAGCAGCTCCCGAAGCAACAGTGGGCCTTACTGGAGTTTGAAAAACCGGTCACTTGTCCTCGACTCTGTCTTGTAATTGGGTCAAAACTGGATACTGATATTCATGCAAACACCTGCAGGTTGGCATTCCATGGGGTATTGCTTCAAGGCCTAGAAGATAAAAACTATACAGAGACTTTCCTTCCAAAGCTGAAAGTGTACAAACTGAAGCACAAAGAAGGTCAAGTGGAAAGGGTAAGCTCTATTTCTTACCACTGTAATGGCAGAAAGAAACACTTCTCTTTGTGATTCTTGCTCTAGGTCACAACAATGCTGAAGAATTTGCACCTAAATTGTGCTCCTTTCTGATTTCCATTTAAAAAATGCTTTTGGCTTTTAAAAGCTTGAATGTAGTGATGTGATGTTTCCCACCTGAGTTTGTAGACAGCTGGACAGCTTTCATTTGAGATGTGTGAACAGGCTCATTAATCTCAGTGGGAGGTTTAGTTAGATATGTAACTGTATTAACAATTTCACCATAGAGTATTTTAACATATAGTTAATATATTTCTTCTACAAGCTCAAACTACTTCTCACATGTTCCCCAGTCCCCTGACTGTCTTCTGTCAGGTTCACAAAAACTCTGGTTTCCTTCTGGTTTGTATACTACAGCTATTCTGTAGTTTCAGTGCAAAGTTCTGGAGCAGTTTAAAAATGGAATAAATAAAGGCAGTGAGACTATTAGGCATTAATTACAGGTCACGCATATGATGTGTTAAAGCACTTCAGAGTACATATAAAACCAGGCCATCTTTGGAAGACCATATGGTGACTTCTGCAGGAGTAATGATATGTTCTGGCTAGATTTAGGCGTGGGTAATTAACTTCTGCCTATTTTTACTGTCCCTTCAGCAGTGTCTGTTTTGTTATATTTCTACTATTTCTTTACTTATCTCTTACTGTCCCATCTCACTGGTGGCTGCATTTCCATAATGGGTGGACATTCATTTGCATATACATAATACACTTTGGAGTTTTTCATAATGAAAAATATTTCAGAAAAGTAATTATATATATTTTAATTTGTTAACCTTAAATGAGAACAATGTTGATGTAAATTATTAATGCATGCATGCAGAGTATTGGAAAACATGTAAAAGTGATATATAATTGTTCAGCATTATTATATTATTAATTTATACTCTAGTAAAGAGTTATTAATTTTTGTTCTAATCCACAAAGCTGATCATTCCAACAAAATCTGCAACAGTTTTGTTTCACTTCTCTCAATAACTTGGTAGTATTGGGGGGGATGTTGAACATGAATACATTTCCTTATTTTTGTATAAAGAACTAAATGCTTTTCAAAATACAGAGTCAAAGTACATTTTGTGGTGCAAATTTCTTTACAGTTTATTGTTTGAAGATTTCAGAGTAAACAAGCAGTGGGTCTGGCAGGCACAGGTATGAATTTGTGAGGTTCTTTTCTAAAGCGCTGACTGTCAATTACGTCTAAAAAAGTAACGAACGTTCCTAATCTGTACCTGCCCTTCCCCTTTCTCTGTACTGTATCCAGCACTTCTCTTTATCTTGTAGAGTTTGTTCTTCTTGCTTTCCAAGTGCGCGCTACTTCTCCCCCCATGGTTTCACTGCTACATCTGGAGGGCCAAACCAGTGCCTGTTGGTGATTCAGGGGTGTAGGTTGTAGCTGTGTTGGTCTAAGGACATAGGCAGACAAGGTTCTTTGGGTGAATCTGATATCTTTTATTAGACCAACTTAAATAGTTGGAAAACACTTATTAAGCAAGCTTTTGGGTTCAAAAACCCTTCGTCAGGCTAAGAAAGTTTCAGCAGTTGGTGTGCGCTTTCCTTGGATGGAATGAAAAGTAAAGAAGCCAGAGGCCGGGCTGGTCTGCATGCAAGACAGGCAGTCAGTGAAGATGTAGACTGAGGAGTCAATGGGTGGGGGGGAGAGAAGGGGGAGAGAAGGGGGATGAATAGTGGAGAGATACCTGGGGAGTCGGATGTCAGGCAGGTTATAATGTGTCATAAATCCAATGTCTATATTTAGTCCATGATTTTTAGTATCCAGGAGGTTGATGAAGTGGAGTTCATAAGCTTGTCTCTGGGAAGTGTTGTGTAAGTTCCGAGTTAGGCTCGGAAGCGGCGAGAGACGCGTGGGTGAAAGCTCGCTGCGCCCCCGCTCCCCCGAAAGCCGTGGAGCCCCCTGCTGACCCCCAGCACAGCCGGGGTAAGCAGGGCCCGTGGAGAGAGGGGGCTAAACCCTTAGTGTGTGTGTGGGAGGAGGCCACTGAGTGGAGCCGGGCCAGGTCAAGCCCCGCCCAGGCCCCTACTTCGCCCAGCCCCCCAGGGAGCCATGCGAACAGGCTGCGCAAACAGGTGCGCTTCTCTGCCAGCGCGTGAGTTAGCACGGAGTTCGAACGGGAGGATGCATGGGAGGGCTCAGGGCCCTGCTAGCGCGCCCCCCAGGGTAGACAGCCCCAGCCGTAGCCAGCCTACCAGAGGCATGACACGGATGGGCC